AAAAAAAAAAAAAAAAAAAGACATGTATTAACTTCTATTTAATCTCAGGATTTTGGGATTTTGAATTAGATAGACTATCAGAAGAATGTGTGGGGTTTGATCAAACCGTTAATGTATAGTCATCTATACTGTAATTAGAACTGGTCTAAGCTGATACATGACATAATTTAACGCTTTGAGATCAGATTAGTATCTACATTTTAAAGATGTAATAATTTTATCTGAATCTAGCACTGCCAAATTTATGAATACTCCAAAATCAATTAATTATGGAGATGTCAATGGTGTCCTTTATAGATATGTAAAATGTTTAAAAAATTGCTTTGTTATTATCTAGTTATAAACAAAATATATGATTTCCAAAAATAACAGAACATAAAACAAGTAAACTATCCATGGAGTAAAATTCCTAGCAGAACAGAATTCTGCAATTCTGATTGGATATTTGAGGATTCATGGAGAAACATTCAATAATTATGTCTGCACAAGTTACAAGAAAACTATTTTTGTATTGCTAGACTTAAAACTATTTTTGTATTGTTAGACTTAAATAAAAAAAAGAAAGAGAAATCCCCAAATAACCGAGGAGCAGTTAGGTGACCACTGGAAGACAGCGAAAGGCAGTATTTCTGAGGGATGAGATCTGTAGAAAAGATAAGATCTGCAGCATCTACCTTAGGTCCAAAGGTAACATAGTGACAAAAGTCATATAAATCTGAAAAAAGCTAAATAGAAAATTTAGAAATAGTGCTAAATTAGAAAACATAGAAATAGTGCTGAATTAGAAAACATACATGGCTGTTTGCTTTCTACTATGATAAATTCACTTGTATCAGACAAATTATTCTCTCAAGAATCACAACAAAGTTTTTTTTTGTTTGTTTGTTTTATCTTTGACAGGCAGAGTGGACAGTGAGAGAGAGAGACAGAGAGAAAGGTCTTCCTTTTGCCGTTGGTTCACCCTCCAATAGCTGCTGCCGCCAGCACATCGCGCTGATCCGAAGGCAGGAGCCAGGTGCTTCTCCTGATCTCCCATGCAGGTGCAGGGCCCAAGGACTTGGGCCATCCTCCACTGCACTCCCAGGCCATAGCAGAGAGCTGGCCTGCAAGAGGGGCAACCGGGACAGAATCCGGCTCCCTGACCTGGACTAGAACCCGGTGTGCCGGTGCCGCAAGGCAGAGGATTAGCCTATTGAGCCACGGCGCTGGCCAAAGCTTCTTTTAAATAAAAAAAATTACCTATTGAAAGATGTTCAGAAGCCAAAGTCTGAGAAAAAAAAAAGATATGGATTAAGATGAGCCTAACTTTCTTTGCCATATTCTCCTTGAGAAGTGGCTGATTCACAAGTAGTTCTGGATTGAAAGACCTTGCTACATGTATGGGCTGAAGACTCCCGGGGTGGGGAAAACAATAAATTATAGTGCAAAGTAGTCAGACTTTTATACTCAGAATTCTCAGGAAAGAGAATGGCAAGCCATTATAACTTTTCTTCTTAGGCATTTGTTGATTTCTATGACATGTAATAAGGGAGGCAGAAATCCAGGGAGAAAACAGAAGCTAAGATGTGAAACCTAAGGACAGTTCAAAGGCATATTTCCTTCTCAGAAGTAGGTAGAGGTGGATCTTCTTAGTAAAAATGAAACAACATTCAGGCACACCAAGGTTGAGTGGCCCTAGTATAAATATATAGAGAAAAACAGGAGTACAGAAGACTTCACAATCACTAAATGTTAGTCTCAAATCACTCAATCTTATTTGGAAGAGAAGGTGATTTTTTTTTCTTATCCTAAGCATTTGCTTGAAAGATAGCAAATTTTGTCAGAAAGAATTCAGTGTTATCCAAAGCCTGTCTCTCTGTTATTTCTATAGTTTTCTGAGCTATCTTAGGTTTAGTACACAAGAATTATACTTATTGTACTTTCAATTCCCTTCTTGTAACATTCATTTTCTTCATAAATACTTTCTTTACTTGTCGCTCCCCCTCTTCGTGGAGGAACGACACAGGACCCTGCGCTGTTCCCTCGTCTGCTTGGCCCTCCCCGGGCTTGCTGCTGGTTCTTCCCGGGTTGGCTACCATCCCTTCCACCTCCGTGGAAGGGCGGTTCCCCCTGCCACCTTCCCCACTTCCGCGGGGGAGCGGCACACCACCGGCCGGCTCTCTCGGGGGCTGCTCAGGTGTTCCCCTTAGATGTTCCTGGTGCATGTTGTCTCTCTCCTCCTTTATAGTCCTCCTCGGCCAATCCCAACTCTGCTGCCCACACGCCGAGTACGCTGCTCTCCTCCAATCAGGAGCAGGATCAGCTCCTGGAGGTCATCACTCAAGTTGGCAAGAGGCAGCTGCGTAGAAGCTGTTTTCTCCTCTCCCAGCGCCATATTGTGGGAAAGCAGATGCATAGAATAAGTCTTAATTCCAGTAACTTAGTCTAGTCCGAGTTGCTCCCAGTTGCTCCCCACATTTACTGTTTGCTTTCCTAGGTAAATTTGGCAGCTCTGCAAGACAGGATTATACCATGATGTTCATTATGCTACACTAGCTCCTAACACAGATCCTGACAATAAAAAAATGTGCAAATATGAGCATCATTATTGAATGCTTATATAAGTGAAAAAGAAGAAAGGGGGAGAGAAGACAATGCTATGAATTTTCAAATACTGCAGATCATTTGTAAGAGTTGCTACCCATAGATTTAAGCCCCATGAAATGTTATCTGAATGCCAGTAATTATGGAGTTGAATAGAAAACCAATTAAATTTTTACATAGCCCTTAATAGGGTATTATACAAATATATAAAGAATTCCAAAGACCATACTGAGTATTGTGTAGTTCTACAAATAAGTTATGAAAATGAATGCTGATTTTTGTTATAGTGTTTTATAGTTTTCTCTCTTCTGCTGTAAGTTGTTTTTTCTTTCATCTGAGAATATGTATGTACACACACACATAAACAGAGAGAGAGAGAGAGAGAGAGAGAGAGAAAGAGAGAGAGAGAGAAAGAGAAAGAGAGAGAGAGAGTGCTTCCATTCTTTGGTTCATTTTCCAAATGCCCACAATGGCCAGGTGATATCTGGGCCAAAGCCAGACTTGGGGAACTAAATCCAGGTCTCCCACATGGGTGGCAAGAACTCAACAGCTTGAGCCATCATCACTGCATTAGCAAGAAGCTGCAATCAGGAACTGGAGCCAGGAATGAAATTGCAACAAGCATGTTCACCACTAGGTCAGATCCCTACCTCTCTCTTACTTTTTCAGTTTTTTGTTTTTCCTTTTCCTTTTCATTCCTTTTGCCTCATTAGCTTTCAAGTAAAGAGAAGATTATTTGGATGCTAAAATCTTAAACACTAGTCAGTAAGGTGTAGAACACTATAATGAGTAAAAGCAAGATACAGATACAAGGGGTTACTCTGAAAATGTCAGAGTTGTTGTTTAAATTCTTTGAAAAAATTGACCTCTATACATTTCTGTAAGTTTCCCAAAAAGAATAATTTCCTTAAATTTGGTATTATTAGATGTTTATCTAACTTTATGGGTTGCACTTAATGTAGAACTGCTTTAGTAAGCAGTAAGAATTTCCAAAAACCCCCCAGACACCTTTTTCCTCCAAGACAATACAACTTCTGGGGAGATAAATACGAGCGACTGAAGACTGACATTAATGACGCATCATGCTCTGACCTCTCTCTGCAATGGTATTAGTTACCAGACATTATGTTGAAGTGAGAAGCTGTTTACTTCACTGTTGAAAATTTGATAGCAATATACATACTTTGGAGTGTCACATCACAGGGACACATGTCCGGGACCATTTGGGAAATTTCTGTCATGGATGTATATTATTTGGTTTGTTATTACAACTCTGTTCAATTTTTTTTTTTACCTATTTTTACCGGTAGTTTCATATACTTTGTCCTAATTTTTGTTTATTCTGTTTCTGTGTGCATTTCAAGAAACTTACTACTGTGGGGATAATCTGTCTTACTTAGCTTATCATTTGATTAAACAATAAAGAGATCCACTCGTCTTAGAAAAATCATAATCTGGAGGTTAAAACTCATCAGATGTTAGGGAACTGGGATACCTTGGCTTGTCCAGGGCTATAATATAATAGAAACAGGATATTTTTTTAATATACATTACAAAATTGGAATATATATATATATCACTTTATTGATAACAAATTATTTTAATTGCTATTTTCAAATTTCATTTCTCATTTGAGTAAATTTCACTGATTCATTGATTCATTTTGATTTTTAAGAACAAATATCTCTAAAGACAGGTTTACTATGTGGCAACACTATGGCTTGTCAATTGAATGTTGTTACATGTACTTGAAATATATTAACTATATAACTTACTAAGTGAAAACATATGAGATTTACATTATGCATATTATTTGTCTCAGTGTACTTGTGCAAGGCAAGGCATATATAAGAAACATTGGTGAGATATGTATTAATGGAAATCTTTCCAGTAACTTAGGAAAGTCAGGAGAAAGTTTTCAAATGCATGTGGTCATTTGCTAAATAACTCATTGATTTTCCTTTAGGATCTAAATTGCTCAATTTTTATAACACTGATTGATAGTTGTTTCCTTATTTTTTTTTATTTTTCTGTAAAATATGCAACTCCTCAAAGGTAGACTCCCTTCGTAATTGTGTCATTATCAACTGTGTGCTTGTCACATTGCGTTTCCTTAATGGTACTTAAATTATAGCTTTCAACATTATGTGTCCTTTGCTTTCTAGGTGTTTCCAATCCCCTTTTCATTTCATATGGATTCTTGACTATAATGAGCAAAATATGGATTTAAATGTGGAGAAGAAGCAAGACTAGCAAATACTGATTAAAAATAAAATATCAAAATTTTCTCCAATCATAAATCATAGTGGTTAACACTAAGTTCAGCAACTATTTTTGGAATATAAAGATCACAATAATAAAATTGTGCCATAGCTGGAAACAAAGTATATGTATCAATGCACAGCTATATTACAGACCTTTGTTGTTATCCATTCCTCCCACTGCATACAGAGTTCCAACTGTAGATTTTCTAGGTTTTGTTCTTGGACTTTGCATTAAAGTTCTTCTTTCTGGCAATAGATGATATTTCATTGCTTCCAGAATCAGCTTTTGGCATTCTAGATCATTCTTAAATAACGCATGGTTTTCTAGGTCAGCCAATATCTGTGGATAATATGCAATCATTGTTAATAGTACTTTTAAAAGATATGAGACCATTTTAGTAGTTAAAAGTTTAATGCCTGTAACATAAATGGATATTATTTTTATTCAATGTCATTTGTTATCATATTGCATAGAGTAAAAAATAAATCTAAAGTTCATTTTTCCATTCTCTTGCTTAAATTTTGAATGATACATCATAAAAATGTATAATTATTACGTGCTAATCAAAACTTTCAGATCATAAAGATAAACTATTGTTGATAGCCATAAACACATCTGATAAAGGAAATTAAACATTAACCTTCAAGAAATTAGATCACAATAAGCCTATTATAAATATTAACATATGTAAATTAATATATTCCAAGTACATTTGAAACCTCCTGCAAATTCAAACTAATTTGATTAAAATGGAAAAAAATCTTCATTACAAAGCTCTAAATTTGCAAGCTACAGAAAATCTACATAAGACAAAGTAGAAATTTCCAATAGTTAGACTAAGAAATACTAAACAAAAATCTTCAATTGAGCACACAACACAATGAGATCAACAGTGTTTTATTTTAATTTTTAAAAATTTTGACTAACAAGTAATACTTACATATTTGTGCGTAATATGTTAGAGTATTTCAACGCAGGTATTCAGTCAAAATGGATAAAATCAGGGTATTAACCTTTTCATTTCCTTATTTTTTCTTTGTATTTGTATCCTATCAGCACCCCTGTTCTTCTACACTATATATTATTGTGAACTACTGTCACCCCAACATAGCACCTGATGCTTTTAACTGAATGTGTTTGGTACCAATAATACAACGTAACTCAATTTCCCCTTTCTCTACTCTTCTCAGCCTCTAATAATAATTTTTGCTACAACAGATTTTTGTCTCTTCATGACCTTTGTGTAAATTTCATTGAAAAATTAGTCTATCTTTATTTTCCTCTTCCTCTGTCTCTCTTTAGATTATCTTATTCTTTGTTCAATGCCACTTTCTATTTTTTTTGTGAATCTAGTTTCATTGTGAAGACAGTAAAACCTGTCACATAGAATGCTTTTGAGTCACAGCTTTAATATTTACTCCTTGATCTTTTCTTGTTCATTGATAAGACCATACCAAACCTGTATATAAATGTTTGAGTGGATAACTTAAATATGATGATGACTTGTACTAACTGATCAATTTAAAGTTTATAATTTTAACCTTAATGGATTCATTTAACCAAATACATAAATTACTGGTAGAGGTATCAGGAAAAATACAAAAACAGTGAGAAACTCATGTAGGACATCTGGGAAAGATGACAGAATATGTCTAACATTAAGAACATAAAAGACTCTATTAGAACTCCTAGATGTTTTGGAATACCATATGTTGTAATATCTAATTATACTATGTTTCATTTTAATTATTTTTATAACTATATTCTTGGTTCTGTTCTCTTCTTGTATGTTGAAACTTTAGCTGCTTTCTCATTCATTTTTACACTGAACATCAAATAAAAGAGGAGAAAGGGATTGGAATGTAATAGGGAATCTTTAATGTAGTTTTTTTAAAGACTACTCTTTCTTATTTCAGTAGAACTTTAATTTGTAATCAGTAAAGGGAATATTTTTAAAAGGTCCCTTTTGATAAGGTGGTCTTAATGAGCATATACATTGACCCTTTTGTTTTCTCTCTGTTAAAATATCTTCTCATATTTCTGGAAAATTTAGCATCAGTTGATCCTTAAAAATGCTCTTTCATTTTTAAAAATTTTATCTTTGTTTTATTACTTTTTCATTGTATCCAGGTAAATAGTTAATAAATTACAAATAAAAGGAATAAAATGAAAAGAGTAGATGTACTTCAAAACATCAAAACCAGAGTTAAAAGATAAATTGATTTTGATGCACAAGCATCTTGAAATCCATGCACGAAACAGGTCTTCAGAAAATTCAAGGAAAATACATATTATGAAAAAACACATGCATTGAATTCAAAATGTTTTTCATTAAAGAAAGTTATCCTTTCATTTTTTCATGAGTTTTTTGAAGTTCCCTTATATATGCTTCTATTCTGCTTTTCTTTAGAAAAATATTAACTTGGAATAAAAATGTTTGAGAGGTTGGAGGATGGCTGAGATTTTAGGTAGATTAACCACATATATACTAATATTTTGTCTTTAATTTTTAAAATATGATCAGCTGTTGTCCTGACTGTTGATGTACAATGTAATACCTTATCAATTTTAGTATTTTTTTGTTCTAGTATTATTGGTTGAACTCTGTAATTAACACACAATTATTCTTAGGTGTTTATATTTTAACTGAAAAGTGATCCCTGTTAGGAATTTGGAAAACATTATGCTGAGTGAAATAAGCCAATCCCAAAGGGACAAATATCATATGTTCTCCCTGATCAGTGACAACTAACCGAGCACCAAAAAGGAAACCTGTTAAAGTGAAATGAACACTATGAGAAACAGTGACTTGATCAGCCCTTGTCCTGACTGTTGATGAACAACTTAATATGTTATCCCTCTTAGTATTTTTTTTTGTTTGTTCTACTTAATACTTTTGGTTGAATACTGTAATTAATACACAGTTATTCTTAAGTGTTAAAACTTAACTGAAAAGCGATTGCTGTTAAATATAAGTGTGGGAATAAGAGAGGGAAGAGATGTGCAATTCGGGACATGCTCAAGCTGACTTGCCTCAAACGGCAGAGTTAGAAACATACCAGGGGATTCCAACTCAATCCCATCAAGGTGGCGTGCACCAATGCCATCTCACTAGTCCAAGTGATCAATTTCTGTTCACAATTGATCATAATGATAGGACTAAGAGCCAAAGGGATCACATAAACAAGAATAGTGTCTGCAAATACTAACTGATAGAATAAAAAAGGGAGAGAATGATCCAACATGGGAAGTGAGATACACAGCAGACCCATAGAATGGCAGATGTCCTAAACAGCGCTCTGGCCTCAGAATCAGCCCTTAAGGCATGCAGATCGGGCTGAAAAGCCCATGAGAGTATTTCAGGCATGGAAAGCCAAGACACTCTGGCAAAAAAAAAAAAAAAAAACAACACCACACACACCCCTAAATGAAAGATCTCCGTGAGTAAGATCCCAGTGGAAAGAATGGGTCATCACAGAAGGAGGTACCTTTCTCTGAAGGGAGGAGAGAACTTCCACTCTGACTACAACCTTGTCTAAATATGATCAGAGTCGGTGAATTTAGGGGGCTTCCATAGCCTTGGCAGCTCATGAGAAGAGCCTAGGGTGGTTACTGAGGCCATAAACAAGAGTGTCAATTTGTTAAGTCAATAACAGGAGTCACTGTGCACTTACTCCTCATGTAGGATCTCTGTCCTTAGTGTGCTGTACATTGAGATTTAATGCTATAACTAGTACTCAAACAGTATTTTTCACTTTATGTTTCTGTGTGGGAGCAAACTGTTGAAATCTTTACTTAATATATGCTAAACTGATCTTCTGTATATAAAGAGAATTGAAAATGAATCTTGATGTGAATGGAAGGGGAGAGGGAGCGGGAAAGGGGAGGGTTGCGGGTAGGAGGGAAGTTATCGGGGGGGGGGAGCCATTGTAATCCATAAGCTGTACTTTGGAAATTTATATTCATTAAATGAAAGTTAAAAGAAAATTTTAAAATAATGTTACCTTCTTTCAAAAAATTATTTTTTATTTATTTGGAAGACAGAATGACAGAGAGAGTAGGGGAGAGAGAGAGAGAGAGAGAGAGGTCTTTCATCCACTGGTTCAGTACTCAAATGGTTACAATGGCTGGAGTTGAGCCAATCCAAAGCTAAGAGCCAAGAGCTTCTTCCAGGTCTCCTAAGTGGGTGCAGGGGCCCAAAGAAGTGGGCCATCCCTTGCTGCTTTCCCAGATGCACTAAGAGGGAACTGGATCAGAAGTGGACCAGCTGGGGTTCAAACTGATGTCCATTTGGGATGCCGGTGCTTCAACCTACTGCACCACAGCCTCAGACCCTATCTTTAAATTTTGACACATGGAAAAGAAAAGCATCTTATGTTTACCTGAGTTAATATACTCTTCCTTATATTTAGATGATTCTTTTAACTAACTGGGTGAATTAATTTTAGTTAATTTATTTAATTTTAATTAATTCTAGTAACTGTTCACATTCTTGATTTTATCATCATAAACAACTTATGTTAAGAACAATAGTTTAATAAATACAAGATTTTAGTTTAATTTCTTATATTTTAAACAAAATAGACGTCAGTTTTTAAATCCAGAAATTGTAATTAATTTAATAAATATTTTAGGATTACCAAAACACAAAATTATTTAAATTCCAATAAGTGATACTTTATACTGTGGTCTAATTTCATGAATTCTTGTAGAGCCACACATAAAACGGTAATTGTGTATTGAGTTACACTACAATTTTTGTTACTTTGGGCCACCTTAAGAAAATAAACTAATATTAATTGATTAATTAATGATAATTATTTAATTATTTTTAATTTTTAAGAAAAGTCACAAACATCAGTCCATACCTTGCATGTATAGAGGAAGTCCACTACAAAATGGAATATAATATTGAATAAACACTTAAATAAAAATTGAAATTTTCTGCATACCAAAGAGTGTATTAATCTTCTAACATTTTATTTTGGGCTGTTGCTGTTGTAGGAACATTCCCATACTGGTAACAAAGTGACTATTTTTATATGTTTCATGTATTCCATAATATTTTAAACTTTTGTTTTGCAATTGGATTTGTGCTTAAACAAATCTACTCACAGGATTTGAACCCATAAAACAAAATTGATTCCTATAGAAGTGACAGTCCTTAGAGAATAAGTGACAGGTTCATACACAGTCTTTGAAGCTTTCTGCTTGACAAAATGAGTAAGGAAAAAGATAAAACATCATGTTAAATTAAGCTGCAGATAAAAAAGGATTTCTACTTAAATGTCTTATTAATAGGTCTGAAAAATAAAATAGTTTTGGTATATATATATATA